GCATTCTATCAAGAATAAATAAAATCTCCAAAGCTTGACAGGGAAGAATATGGAGAGGTATTCAAGCAACTAACCACAAGTAAAGGATTTTCCTTTTCCTGGAGAAATCTATTCCAGGAAGAAATTGATCTGAGACCCCTCTGCATACAAAAGCAGAAGGGCAATTTTTAGAGCCAAAGGAAAATCTCAGCTGAGGCCAGCTGGTAATCTTAAGCGAGGTAATAGTCCATTATATCTGTCTGGTATGCATCCAAAAGGTATGCTTCCTTCTTGTGGATAGAATGCTCTGCTTGGAGTGAGTCAGATGTAGGTTTGAAATCTGCCTCTGACACTAGCTGTGTGACCCTGGGCAATTAATTTGACTTCTCTGGGCCTCATTTTCCCCCATGATATCATCTACTTCCAGGGATTATTTTGAGGATCAAAAATATATGTAAAGTACTTTGTGAACCTGAAAGTGCTATACAAATTATTATTCTCTTCCTCATTAATTTTTTTATGCCCTGAGAAATAGTATAACATAATGAATAGAGAACTAGATTTGGAATGAGAAACACCTAGGTTTGAATCCTGCCTTTGAGATTTTCTGGCTGTGTGACCATGAGCAAGTACCTTAACCTCCCTAAACCTTGTTTCCTAATCTTTAAAATGAGTATGATAATAGAGCGCAATGTAAATGAATGGACAAATGAAAAACCATTTATTAAGAGCTTACTGGGGATACCACTAGAAAAATCTCTTATCTCAAGAATTGTATATTCTAATGATAATAATGGCTAGCATTTATACAGTAGTTTAAGGTTTACAAAGTTCTTTACTTCTGTTATCTTACAACAACCTTGTGAAGTCAGTAGGTAATAAGAGGAGATAACATGTATTCGATAACACAGTTTCAACTGCAAGTCTGGCAGTGAGGCCCTATTGTTGAATTCCCTATTTGATAAACTCTAGCAGCTCTCTCTCACTTCTAGGATCAAATGCAAAGCTTTGTTTGACTGTTAAAGCCCTTTATAACCAGCCTTTTCCTACCTTGGCAGCCTTCCAACTTCCTTTCAAGCTTACTCCCTTCCTTGTTGTTTAGTTGTTCAGTCTCATTCTACTGTTTGTTACTCTGTGGACCAACTGTCCATGGGATTTTCTTGGCGAAGATACTGGATTGGTTTACTGTTTTTCTCCAGTGGATCCTTTTGTTCGGCAATCAGAGGTTAAGTGACTTGCTAAAGATCACACAACTAGAAAGTATCTGAGGCTAGATTTGAACTCACATCTTCCTAACTCAAGGCCCAGTGCTCTGTCCACTGTCACCAGCTCTCTCTACCCTTTTTCATGTATTCTGTAATATATTGACATTGACCTCCTTGTTCCTCCAAGACACTCATCACTGAAAAAGTCAAGAGTGTCACTCTCTGGTGGTTAAATATATTTCATATCATATTTCTGGTATAATTCTGTACTACTCCGTATTTCATTGAACACTAGTTATGTGAATGTGACATAGTGGAAACAACCACAGTGTGGCCTTAGATATTATGTACTCATTTCTTCCATGCATCTCTCCATATGTCTTTGGGTGAATAGTCAATTTTAATTCTTCAGATTTTGGTATTCCATAACTGCTATCTTGGAGATGCTGCAAGATAACTTATGAAAAGTCCAAATCTTCTGTTCCTCTGAAGTTTACAAGGTGTTTCTCTGGTCAAAGAGGAGGAAAGGAGACTGAGGCTGAAGTCAAGACCAAGACCAAGGCCACGGCATTCCTCCTACCTTCTGCCAAGGGATTTCCTCTCAGAGGATGCTCTCTCTTCTCAATTTCCAGACACTTGAATCTCTAGGATTCTGACCTGGTTTGCTATTTTTTTTTTCTGAAGATGCACAGAGTAAGACCAAGTCCTTCAACTCATCTGAACAGATTTTCTGTTTTACCTAGCTGAAATGCCTATTGACTGATTTGTAGAACTTATTCATACCTTGATTCAATGATTTGTGCCCTTACCTGACAAAGTTATCAGAGCTTAGCATCTTGTCAGTCACTTTAAGTGGGATGAGGTAATTGTGTAAGCTGACTACATGCATGTGCCACCCCCCTGCCGCACCATATCTATTACAAACAAAATAAAGTCCCCTGTCCTATGAACTTCCTATATAAGGCAGCTTCCTTAGCTCTGCAATGATCATGCCCTTTAAATTAAGACATATACCTTGGGGCCTCTTCTTTTAATGTGACTCTTCTATTAAAAGTTTACTGAACTATTCCTGCCACCTGGGAAGTCTGCTTCAATATTAAAGTACTAATAAACCCTTCATTTTCAGCTGTCTGTATCCTTCAAGAAAAAAGGCACATAGTCCTGTAGGGATTGATTCCACAGTTGCAGGTTTAGATGAGAGGAATTTTGATCTCCACATTGGAGGCGTTACATTCTGTCCCAAGTGCATCGTTGATATTATGACTTGAAGAAAGAGAATAGGCAGCCTGTTAAAAATGAGCTCAGGTAATCAATGTCAATTTTTTTTTTCTGACAGATGATTGCTCATGTTCTGGATTTTAAGTCTTGCTATGGTAAAAATGTTATAGAGTTTGAGGAGATTAATTTGGATATAAAGATTGTCATTCATTCAATATAGTGCCTACTATGTGCTAAGCACTTTTTACAAATATTATCTCACTTGAGCAATAGATGAATACAACATATATAAAATGTAAATGCAGAGTAAACACAATTTTGGGGAGGAAGAGAGCAGCACTAACAGCTGGGGGAGGATAGTGGTATCCTCAACAGAAATAGGTGAGTTAGGAAGAGGAGTGCAGTTTCTGGGAAATGATAAGTGATAAACCAATGAATAAGAAAGTTTTCTGGAAGGGTGTTTGCAACAAAAATATATGCTCATCCATCAAGGAACTTGATAAAGGCTAATTTATTGCACCTTCAGTAATTCAATTCATGTCAAGCATATTTGTCAGAATCACAGGATCTCAGAGTTAGAAGGGACCTCAGAAGCCACTCCAGCCCCTATGTGAACAAGAGTCCTTTCTACACTATCCCCAACAAGAAGTCATCAAACTTTTTGTTTAAGACTTGCAATGAGTGAGAAGCCATTGCCTTCTGAAGCTAGTTGTTCTGTTTTCGAATAGCTGTCATTTTTAGGCCACTTCCCTTTTATATTAAATCTAAATTTGGGTCTTTGTGACATCCATCCTTTGATCCTAGTTCTGCATTCTCAGACCAAGTAGTCCAAGTCTGTTTCTCTTCCATATGCCAACACTTCAAGTATTTCACTGTTTAGGCAGCCACTGGAGGAAGAAGGAAGATCACATTTTCTGAACTGATATTTGAAACAAAATACATTCTCACCCTCATAGAACTAGAACAAGGCTCATGTAGTTCCTTCCTCTGTAATTCAATTAATGTCATCCATTTAGCATGTGATTAGTGTGTACTTAATTCCAGGAACAAGCATTTACCATGTGATTACTGTGCGCTTGTCACATTTAGTTACTTTTGAATTAATTGTACTGATTTGTTTTCAAGATTTTTTTTAAGGAGCTAAATTAATACATATGAAATTTGATCTTAGGGATAAGATCTTGTGTTTTTGTATTTTAAGTTTCACATTTTGGAGACATTGGGGTGTAAGAATGCTATAGTTAAGGATAGGGATCCTGGTTTACAGTCTTGGTTTTGGCACATACTGTGTCAGATTTAAAAAATTTTGGTTATAATGAACGTGGAGTATAACCATGGGCAGGGAGTATAACCCTTCTGGGACTCAGTTTCCTTATCTGTAAAATGGGGATAATAATAGTGTCATTTCCCACTTTTTAGTATTTGGAAGAAAGTGCTTATAAGCTTAGAGCCGTATAGAAATATGAATTTAGATATATAGAAATATGTTATTGTGGTATGTTGAAATGTTGACACATATATCATGATTGTTAAGAAGCAATTAGAAGAAGTTCTCTCTTAACAGTGCTGCTTATGGACTCTCCAGAATGTCTACAGTCATATTCTCCAGAATGGAGAGCTTCTATTTGATATTCAAAGCCCTTCATGGCCTAGCCCTGTCCCCTCCAACCTTTTCAGTCTTCTTACACCTTGTTCCCCCTGTCCCCATGTACTTTTTGATTCAGTAACATTGGCCTCCTTGCTGTTCCACAAACAAGATACTCCATCTCTTGGGTAGGGGAATTTTCTTTGGCTGCCCACCATGTTTGCAATGCTCCCCTTCCTCATTGCTACCTCCTGGTTTCCCTGGTTTCCTTCAAATCCCAGCTAAAATCCTAGTTTCTAACAAGGAAGCCTTTCTTTACCCCTCTTAAGTCTAGTGGCTTCTCTTTTAATTATTTCCTACTTAACCTGTATATAGCTCTCTCTCACACACACACACACACACACACACACAAATATATATATTTGTTTACTTGCTATTGCTCCCATTAAATGGTGAGCTTCTTTACAGTAGGGATTGTCTTTTGACTCTTTTTGTATCCCCAGTGCTTAGCACAATGCCTGGCACATGGTAAACACTTAATGCTTATTGATTGATTAATTCATAACTTCACCAACAGTTATTAATGTGCCTGTTATTTCTTTAGCTACCTCAACATTAATTCCATTGTCATCCTTGTCAATTTGCTGAGTGTGAAGTGAAAGCTTAAAGTTGTTTTAATCTTTATTTCTCTTATTATTTATGCTCTGAAGCAGTCTTTCATATGGTTGTTTATATTTTGTATTTTTTCTTTTGAGAACTATTTGTTCATGTTCTTTCATCACTTCTCATCAGTTAATGGATCTTGATCTTATGTATTCTTATTTTTTTCCTACGTGTCAAATATCATATATTTTTACCCAATTGACAAGTTCCCTTTTTAGTCTAGTTGTAAGATACATTTTAAATTATATTGATTTAAATATTCATCTTTTAAAAGTAAATAAATATTCATCTTTTTCTTTTTTTTCTCCCGTTTTTCCCTCTCTGCCCTATGCCCATCACATATAAGAAAGAGTTGGATTTAAATTTTAGGGCTGACATAGGTGGGAATGAGTGGAATGGAACTACACTTCTTCCTTGGGAATATTTTCCACCTGGAATTGACAAGATGAATTTATATGCCATCCATGGATCTGGGAATAGAAGAATTTATGAAGCTCTTTATCCAATACCCCATGAAGAGATTGCAACTGGACAAGGGCCCAATTTGTGAGTGTCTACTGATCATTTGATTTAGTGTTCTTTTTGCTTGTCAATCCAGCTGGTGGAGAGAGAGAAATCAGGATTTGTGAGACTGTATTATGATAAAGCAAGATTTGGAAATTCTTTTGAATAGTTTGATGAACTAAAATACCTTCATTGTGATTCTAAGAAAAGAAATAATTAAATCTTTCTTAGTGTGGATGGATGATTGCAACATATAAATATAATTTCAGCCATACATCTATTAGAGAGTCTTTACCTTTGTATAAAACCAAAGGTGTAGTGGAATGAACACATAACATGGAGTCAAAAGATTTGAGTTTGAGTCTCAGCTCTTTGAGCAATTGGCTATGTGATCTTGAGCAACTCTTTTAGTCTCTTTAAACCAGTTTCTTCATCTGCAAACTGGATAAGAATACTTATATTACTTTAGAAGGCTGTTGAGAGGAAAGAAAGTTATATTAATTAATTAAATATTTATTAAGGGCCTACTATATGTCAAACACTGTATTAGGTACTATAGAAATGTGAATTCATATTGTAGTTTATGGCAAACATGCTGAGTATATTCACAAGTTGTTTTATAATTTTTTAAACTTTTTACAAAGTAGAATTAAAATTCCCCAATAATATATTTTGTCTTACTCTATCACCTCCTAACTTTAACACCAAAAAAAAAAGCCACTTAATAAATTCACAATGAAACTTTCACACATTTTACCAGTTACCTTAATGATTAAGAAATTCACAGGGTACCTTAACTTGAGGCCATTTGATGTACGAGGATGAAGCCTTTCCTAATTACCCCAAATGCTGGTGCCTTCTCTCTCAACCTACCTTGTAGTTATATTTGTATCCCCAATAGTTAGCTAGTACAGGGGCAGGCAAGTAGTAGTTGCTTAATACTTATTGATTAATGAGGATGGGGGTGGGAAACTCTTATCTAGCAAAACACCATGGGGGCTCAATGATACTCCTTGTGCCAAATCTTTCAAACAGCATAGTGGTATTTTCTACACAAGCAATAATAGAAGACCTTGCTGGAAGAGGAAAAACTGGTTTCATATGTATGTATGTAAACCCAGGGCTTAGTGCATGGATCATACTCTGTATCAGAGTGCTGCCTCTTCTTACCTTCACTTCTCTTATCTCCTTTCATTGCTCTATTGAGGTACCAACTTTACCTCATTCCCTCCAAGGTTAATATTCTTTCCCTCCTCAAATTGCCTTGTTTTTTTTTTTTTTTACCTAATTATATTTTGTTTCCAGGGGAAATACATAAGCTTCTTGGAGGCAGAGGTAGTTTCACTTTTGTCTTCATATCTTTAGTGCTTAGCATAGCGTGTTGCACAAAGTGGCCACTTGATAAATGTTGGATTGAATGGAATGGAATACAAGTGACCAGAGTATGTCATAGTTCAAGATAAAGTCAGTACTGGGTAAGGCTTAAGTCATTCAGAAAACTATCTGCTCCTCCAAAATGTATTCATCTTTAATAAATGCAGAGAATCTTGGGTCCTAAGCTTAAAAACTAATATCTTTTTCTTTCTTTCTTTCTTCCCCTTTTTTAATCCTGAAGCCATCGCCTGGAGTATTTCAAACCCTTTGATCTGAAGTGGGTGATGGGAGACGACTGGGAGCAGCCCCATTCAAAGCTGTGGCCCTAGCTTTGTTCAGCTGCTGTTTTAGCTCACAGCAATTATTTCAAAAAGCCAAGAGAAAGCCACGGAGCAGATCCCAACTCAACTCATCCCTTTGCCCTTTGATTGTATCATGGAAAAGGAAATCTTAGTCCATTACTGCTGCCAATAATGTCACAATACATGGGAAATAAAACATCTATATGAAGGGGTGGGTCTTAAAAAACTGAACATTGAACATCAATAAAACTCATTATTATACCTAAAGGAGACTTTGCCCTAGGCAGGGTAGAACAGTTTAAAGGGTGCCCAACTGATCCCTGGGCTATGGGGATGTGCAAACTCCAGAGAGGATAGCTCCACCCTTCTGCTAGAGAACTTCACTTTCTCTGTGCCTTAGTGACTCCAGTAACCTAGGTATATCCCTCCCAGTTGGGAGGTACGGAGCTGGGGAATAAATTACAGGGAGCCCTAATTTTTAAGTTTAGTTAGAGGGAAGGGTTTAAAGTGGGGGTGGAGAAGTATAGAGTTGCTTGTTCTAGAAGAGAGTTGGCTACTGGTAATTATGATAGGGGATGAAGAACTTGGATCAGAGGACTCTAATTTGTGAGCACCTTTTGCTTTCTGGTTTGGAGGGGTGGGAAAGTAAAGAAATCCTATGTGAATGGGACTCATCCCACTATCTCTCACTTAAGTCTGGACTCTTTCCTCCTACATCTGGATGTCCTTAAGAGCAAGAGGGAATGGGAGGAGAAGATGAGTGCTTGGACTATCTGTAGATACCTTTGGGCATAGCAGGTGGCACTTGTGGATGCTCCCTCCTGACACTTCACACAATCACAGTGGGGGTCCTGCCTACCCATGAACAATTAATATTTCTCCAATTATTTAGATCTGATTTTATTTGTACAAAAAGTTTTTTTAAAATAATTTTGTTTATATAGTTACTGAGTTTGTGTTTGGCCTGGGCTAGACTGCCAGATTGGGTTGGTGGGCAAGTCTCAGTTCTTGCTCCCACTCAGGCTTCACATCTTGACAGATGGTTCTAACCCTTTGCTACTCCCTGCTTTGATCCTAGCCTTGCTTAGTATCAGAGTGAAAAGGGAGAGTTGGGTGCCAGGGGTCTTGCTAGTATTTCAACAGGGATGGTGATGGTGGAGGTACAGAGGAGAGGAGTATGTGGAGAAGGGCATCAGGCCTTTCTCATCCTATGAAGACTATCTTGGACCAGACATCTATGGCCTAGCTACACCTTGTTAACAGAGACTACTATTTTAAATAGGAAGGTCTCTACTTATCTCTCTCTTCTGTCATAGCTCATTCCTAGAAAAAGTTATCTGTGCTTTTTCCCTCTACTCACTTTTTTTCCTACTCACTTCCCAATCCCTTTCAAACTTCGGTCTTTAGACCTTTCCACTCAGCTGAAACTTAGAATTTACAATTTAGAGGTCCTTAATACTTTCTTTCTCCAAGGTTATCAAGGATCTCTAGATTGTAAAATTGAATACTTTTTTCCCCCTAAGATCTCAACTTTACTGACCTCTTTGCAAGCCGTTGACATTATTGGCTGTCCCCTCCTCCTGGATGCTTTCTCTTCACTCAGGTTTAGTTTTCCTTCTTCCTGTCTGACCACTCTTACCCTGCCCCTCCTAACTGTACATATTGCCTGAGGCTCTGCCCTGGGCCCTCTTTTCTCTCTATACCCTTGGTCTCAGTGAATTTATCAGCTCCCATGGATTCCATTTTCATCCCATTGCAAATGACTTCCAGATCTGTATATATACAATATGATATGATAAATATTTCTTAAGTACGTACTATGTGATAGGAATTATTCCAAGTTCTAGGGATACAAATAAGAAAAAGATATATTCTCTTCTCACTTCTACTTCTCATAATCCCTAAATTCTTCAATCCCTAACTTTTCTTGATCTCCTTATTGTAAGTGTTTTCCTCCCTCAGATTTCTATTTATATTCACTTTACATACACTTTGTGGTTTCTACCCAGGAGAATGCAAATGCCTTGAGGTCATATAATTTGTTTTTGTTTTGTTTTGTTTTTATAACCTATCTTGCCACACCCACAGAGTTGCCATGGAAACTTTTAGGGGAGGAGGCCTACCTGCTGTGGGGAGTGGGGGGCCATCTTGGGAAACTGAGGATGACTTGGGAGAGCTTTATTTTTCTCATCATACAGTAAGACTTAGATGAATCTGTCAGCACATTGATGTGATCCTAGCATTAGAGCAGACCATGACCTATCCACATCCTTTCATCCAGTATGATTCTTTGCTTATGATCTTTTACAAGTCCCACATAGACTATACACAACCCCCTGGAAGCCATTTTTTAGGGAGAGCCATCATTAGGATTTTTTTTTTAACCTGGGACAAGAACCACAGACTGGCCTGGAGATCTAGGGGCAAGAAACACATGCAATTGAAGTGGGTGAGAATAGATAGGACACAACTTCAATACTGGTGGTGGCAGTGTGGGGAGATACCCCAGGACACCTGGTGAAGCTGCAGCAGAGATTAGGAGCAGGATGGCATTGGAGAGAGGACCAACCAAGCCAGCCATCTGGTAGCTTCCAATTTTAGCCAATTTTTCTTGTTAGCTAAGTGTTAGATTCTAAAAGTCTGTAAGTGTTGTCAGTGCCCTTTATAATAATAACTTGTGCTTTTATAGCACTTTAAGGTTTGCAAAGTGCTTTACAAATATCACCTCATTTTATCCTTACAACAACCCTATTATCCCCATTTTACAGATGAGGAAACTGAGGCAAACCGAGGATATGTGATTTGCCAAAAGTCACACAGCTAGTAAGTTTCTGAGGCTGGATTTTCTATTCATCATGCTCTAAATATAGCATTTTCTAAATTCAGTCCCCTCTAAGTTTGTGATCCTGGGTCAAAACCCCAGTTGCCCCTCAGTTACCACTCTGCTTAGGTCTTTTAACATTTGCAAATGCCAGTATTTCACTGAGGCTATCCATCTGTTATTTCTTACTCTCACTATATGACTGGCCCACCTTAAACGAGGTCTTGGGAACTTTAAATGAAAGTGTGTGTAAAGTTTTCTTTGCAGAGAGTTATTAACCAAGGGACTCTGGATTAATTTAGCAGCCAGGTCTGTTCTTTCAGCCATAAGCCATGCTGTCAGGGAAACTTAATTACACTTTAAGTGGGATGCAAATGAGTTGTGACACTACATCATTTCACATGAAAGGTTCATTACTTACATTAACTTGCACAATGCTCTTTCCTAAGCACAGGCTCATTACGATATTCCTGGGATTTTTTAAACATGCCTAAATGCAAGCAGGGTCTTTACTTTGAATGGCCTGCTCCTTTCTTAATCGTTAAGACTACAAATGTTCGCTTTATTTGATGGCTATGAATTGGACTTGTGGATATAAGAATACACCAAGCCTGGCAGGAAGAAGGCTGAGTACAGCATCTGTCCACCCCCACAGCTGCCTCTGAACTCAAGGCTGTCCTTTGAAAGCAACTGATAGTGGGGCTTCCCTACCAATGGCTGGGGAAAGAACTTAAATAGATTCTAAAAGAGAAATTTCAAAGGGCTTCAACACATGATGTTTTTCTGAAGATGAATTGTGAAGTGGAAATATATATCAATTAATCATCATTTAATAAATACCATTGTGTGCCAGGGACACTAGACCAGAGAGAGAGGTTATGAAGATAAAAGTTAAACACTCCCTATTTTGCAGAATCTTACATTCTAGATTGCAAAGAATGTCTAGTCTAAGCCCTTCATTTTACAAATGACAAAACTGAGGCCTGTGGCCATATTGGCACTAAACGGCAGAACTGGAATTTGAACCAAAGACTTCTGACTTCATGGGCAGCTAGGTGGTGCAGTGGATGGAGCTCTGTGCTTGGAGTCAAGGAAGACTTGTATTCTGGAATTCAAAACTAGCCTCAGACACTTACTAGCTGTGACCCTGGGTGAGTCACTTACCCCTATTTGCCTCAGTTTCCTCATCTGTAAAATGAACTGGAGAAAGAAATTGAACTTCACAAAGAAAACTTCAAACGGGGTCATGAAGAGTCTGATATGACTGAAATGACTGAACGACAACAATTTCTGACTTCAGGTTGAGCACTTGTTCCATTGTATCAGATGCACATATAATGACAATGTTATACAATGCCATTCTTTGACTATTGAGTAGTAGGGAAGACTAATGTGGTTTGATGGAAAGAACACTAGATTTGGAGTCTGAGGACTTGGGTTCAAAATCCAGTTGGGATACTTACTAACTGTGAGACCTCGGGCACATTTCTTTACCTTCCTGTGCCTTGGTTTCTTCATCTAAAAAAGAGGAGAGAGTTGGAGTGGACGATCTCTTCTAGCTCTAAATCTATGATTCCATGCACTGAAACAATAGCAATGATTTGGCAGGTTTCTGGGAGGGGATTCATCTTTAATAAACCTCAAAAAGATTTCTGGGACACTTAGGAAGGGTTGACCTTACTCAAACTTCATAAAGATAACTCTTTTCATAATGATAACTCATTTATCATTTTCAAAGCATTTTCTTTAGAACAACCTTATGTGCATTTTATATGTAGGCTATTTTATAGAAGAGGAAACCTAGACACAGAAGTATAGACACACTTAGGCATTTAGGTGGTGCTGTGGGTAGAGTACTAGGCCTGGAGTCAGGCAGATCTGAGTTCAAATCCAACTTCAGAGATTTACTGACTGTGTGACCCTGGGTGAGTTCCTAAGCCACTGTTTGCCTTAGTTTCCTCATCTGTAAAATGGGGATAATAATAGCACCTACCTCACAGGATTATTGTGAAGATCAAGTGAGATAAAAATTATAAAGTGCTTGGTACATAGCAAGCACTCTATAAACAGCTATTATTAGCTATTATTATTAAGTGACTTGCCCAGAGTTGCACAGCTAGTAAGTGTCTGCAATAGGACTGAATCTCAGGTTTTCTGGCTGCATAACCACTTGATAATGCTCTATTTTTGTAGCATCTATGGTATGGTGATCGAGGAAAAGCAGACGGCTTCATGACATTGTTATCATCAGACAGTTTATATAAGGTAGTCAAAAAGTCTCAGTGCAGTGTAGTTTTAATAACTTAAAACTACACCAAGACTTTTTGGGCATGTTTTCAAGCACTTTCAATAACACAGAGTTAGCTGAGAGCCACATGCAATAAATTAAATGTGTATGGTCCGTGTGTTCCTTTAAGACTCGG